TAAGCGTAGACATTATAAACTCCTAGAAAGCCAAAACTTATTATAGCTTTTCAAATTAGAAATGAAAACACTTCTGAAGCATCCTGTCGGTTTTATTTTCTAAGAAGATAAATGTTGATTGCTATAACCCAAAGAAACTAAAAGACCTTGAGCATCTCTCCCATTCATTCATTCATTCATTCATTGAAAGAGAAAAGAGTTCTTTGAGACCAAAAGTTAGGAATCCAGTGTGGATTATCTCTTACTTTGGCCCATTTCTTGCTAGGACCTCAAGTGGAATCGCTGCTCTGAATTTTCCCTTCTGGGCCTAGGTATTTGGTCCTTTTAACCCAGGAACCTGAATTTTTTTAAATTGGTGGTTAAAACTGAAGCTTCTTATATTTATCAAATATTGGTTTCTTTACTGATAAGTGTAGAGGTAGCTATCACGCTTATAATAAAAGGTTTATAAACACTGAGAAGTGAGGCTGGAATCATGAATCGGGGCAGCACATGAGGTTATGTCACTTGTTGGGCCACAGCACTGCCATTCCAGTCTTGATTTGTCATTTCTGTGTTACCACAATTACTTCTGTTTTTCCCCTCATGATTTAACATTCAAACTGGGGGTGTGGGGGTCTAGATGGAGCTTGGGTTTAGAATGCATGAGGCCCTGGGTTCAATCCCCAGCACCAGAAATAAGTATTTGCCTATATACCTACATAACTAGATAACTAAAAAAAAATAAATGAAAACAAATGTATGCACTCTGGAATCAATAGGTAAATTGAATAGTTATATTTGTTTATTGGCTCAAAGGGCAACTTTGTCTGTAATCTGATCATTTTCTTAGCAACTACACTATAATTTAAAAAAATAGCTCAAAGGTTATATCGTTAGCAATGTGAACAGCAAGTGTATCCTCCAAAATCCTGTAGGAAAGGAAAGCCACGCTTTTATGAACTGGAGACCAAGGGGAACAAAGGTAGCAACATAGAAAGCAGGAACATAGCTTCTAATCTGTGTGTCCTCAGGTGCTTGGCGAGGTCTGGCTTTCAGCTAACGCCTCCCACACTCCCTGCAAACGCAGGGCTTCTCCCCTGGGGCTGACCTGTGGGCACCTTGACTCTTGACTTCTCATGGATGCCTTGTTCACCCTCCATTCTTGACACATGCAGTTGTCACGTGTTCTTCCCCCATGCAAAATTTGCTTGTGCCTCTGGCTCCACTTCCTGGCCCCTTCTAAGCTCTTCACCCGTCACTCCCTCACCTCCCCATCCCCTGCTTGACCTCTGGGTGAGCTAGAAAAGGCCTTGGAAGTCTCCCTTGCTTCTGTGTGTTTCTGTGCCTCTTTGTGCCTTCCTTGAAACTCCTGACCCCCTCTTTGTCATTCCAGCCATGTGGATCAGAATGTTCTTGCCACTGAAGCTGATGCACTGGACAGTGACCCCCTGGCTTGTGGGCTTTTCTTGGAGATGTTCCTGGGCAGATCTGAGAGTAGTGACTGTGTTCGACATGTTGCCTGAGGAAATTCCTACTGGAGAAGGGCAGAGTGCACCAGGCACAGGAATGGATTTCTGGCTTTGTATCTGCTCTTCCTGCTGTGTACTGGTTCTTCTGCTTGCTGCCATGTTTGATGCCCAGCTTCTGGGCACACACTCGATCAGCAACTCACAGCCCAGCCTAATGACCTTGTGGTGTGGTGGAACATCTGCCCATGGTGTTGAAAGACCACCAGTTTTTGCTCCTCCGAATTCCAGGCACAGTGTACATACCTCATCCAGTTAGCCTGGGATTTGTTCTTTCCATCCACCTATTCATGGCTGTTTCTTCCTTTGGTGATCATCCAGGAGTATTCACTCTTGGCTGTCTCATAGGGGTCAAAGTGCAGACCCAGCAGCAGCTCGATGTCTCATTCCACACTCCAAGACCAGGCTGAAGGTTGCTGGACTCAGCCCATGGGTAGCCTGAGGTCTGAGCGGTTGGGATGCCCCTTGTGTATACCGTAGTATCCTTTAAAAGCTCAGGGGACCCACGAGCAGCACAACTGTTGATGAAGGAGTCCTGGAATTTCTTACAATAGAGGTGGTCATCCTGGGGCTTGCTGACGTCTTCATATGCATTTTCTCCCAGGATATACACATCTTCAATCTCAGTCCTCCTGGGTCCTAAGATGGAGAACAGTAGAGTGAAGGTGAGAATCAGGAGCCTTTCTCCCTGTTTCTTCAGAACTAGAGCAGGGAGGGATCGGAGGGAATGGGATGGGGTCACGGCCCTCCAGGCTGGTGTTGCTATCCCGTGCCTGGACCCCAGAGGTGGCTGGGATGCTAGTGCAGCTGGAGGATCCCTGAGCCCAGGATGGGTCAGAGGCCAGCAGCTGGCACAGGGAGCATCCTGTGGACACTCGACGTCCCAGGAGCCTCTGCCTAGGAACCCAGAGGTCAGTGGGCAGCATGGGGCCTCGGGCAGCTGTGTCCGGGCTGAGTAGCTGGTCTCCCAGATACCAGCCCAGGGAGGAACGGTGTTTCCATGGTAAGAGTCTTCAGAGACCCTTGGGCTGAGGGAATTGGTTTTCTCAGGTGGGGAATATTTGAGGTCCTTTGGGGCAAGGGAATTTGGGTTTCTCGGGTGGGGAGTATTTGGAGTACCTCAGGTTGAGGGAACTGGGTTTTGGGGTGATGGGTATTTGCAGAGACTTAGGTTTGAGGGAACAGACATTTCTTGGGTGGAGAATATTTGCATCCCTTGTGCTGAGGGAATTGAGGTTTCTCCCATGGGGGATATTTGGGGTCACTTAAGGTAAAGAAATGGGTTTCTTGGGTGGAGATACTTGGAGATTGTCAGAATGAGAGAACTGGGTTTTCCCCCGTGGTGGGTTCTCGCAGATTGAGAAAACTTGGGTTCTTTCAGACTGAAGAAATTTAGGGTGCTCAGAGAAGAGTTGGGATTCATGGGGCAAAATGTCTTTGGGGCCCCTTGAGATGCATGCATTTGGGATTTGAAGAAGGAATCTTGGGGTCCTAGGACATGGAGAGGACTCTTAGGGGACTCTGGGACTGAGGCATTGGTCTCCGGGAGAAAGAGTCCAGGCCTCTCATTTGGGACACTTGGCCTCTCTATGCTGACTATTCAGGGTTCTCAAGTGGAGGGGGGTTGGGCTCATAGCCTCCAGTGTTTGGGGCTGAGCCTGTGGGGATTTAGTGTTCCTCTGGTTGAAGCCCTGGAAGCTGACAGCTTTGTGGTCTCATGCTGGAAGGATTTGAGTTGCTCCAGGTGAGCTGATTTGGGGTCCCTCAAGGTGCAGGGTTTGGGTGTGTCTTGGGGCTGAGGGAACTGGGAGCTTTCCAGGGGGAAGGGACCTAGCGGCTTTTAGGCTAAAACTGAAAGGTCTCGGGCTGGGGATTTAGCTCAGTGGTTCTGCCGCCTGCCTCGAAAGCGCAAGGTCCTGAGTTTGATCCCTAGTACCAAAAAAAAACACAACCAAAAAACCCCCCAAAATTGAAAGATCTCACTGAAGGTTATGAGGGCTTCATAAGCCTGGCACAGGTTCCAGACCTGTCAGTGTTTGGCCTCCTGGAGCTGCCCTCCTGAACAGGAAAGCTGAATGTTGCTGAGCACAGTTACTCTTTTTTTTCTCTACTTGTGTTTTTTAAAAAAAATTTTATTTTCCCCCATTATTTTTTGTTTTCTTATTTTTTATTTTCTTTCTATATTTTGGGTTTTTTTTTATTGCTCTGAAAGTTTTTCATCTCAGTTCACTTTTTCTTTTTTTTTTCAACTTGTTAAGATCAAAGTGAAATAAAAATACAGACTAGTCTCCAATAAAATAATTTGGGAATAACCTAGAATCTGCATGCATAGTTCATGGAAGCCTTTGGTGTGTCCAGAAAAGAGAGACTAGGCTAGGCTTTTATCAGGACAGAGAAATCTGTGTAAGTTATTTAGAACAAAAGTTCACTGACACATTTGGTGCTTGTGGGAGCTGACCAGGTCCAAGCGGCCAGGTGGCAGCTACTGTGATGAGCTGGTCTTCAGGTCACAGCTGGCAGTTCTACCAGCAGTTGCTACATGAGAACAGTCTTGAAGATAGGTCAGACTCTTTTGATGCTTTGGTTTTGTGAGTTAGTTCCTGGAGCAGGTGTCCTCCACCTGTTTCCCGTACTTTCCCATTGTCCCCCACTCTGTTTGAGTGGGACATGACAGTGCTATCTCCATTCTGAATACTGAATTTTCACAGTATATCCAGTAGGGCACCTGCAGCATGGCCTCATACCCATCTCTGGTTGGGAGGAGACCCATATGGACAGTTACTGACCCCTGGAGACCGTTGGCAGCCATCAAGGTGAGGCAGGCCTGGCACGTCCTACCTGGGACTGAGGTAACATTTAACACAGCTTCTCCAACCTCCAGAGACCACACCTGAAGTCCAGATCACAGGAGTCTTGAGTCACCCGGACTTTGGGAAGCTGTTTGAGACCCAGAAAAGACTCTACCTGGTTGGAGATTGCACTAGTAGAGTGAGATGTTTGATTTCTTAGCTGGCTGCATGAGAAAGAGGCTCAGAAAAGACTCTCCCAGTCGGTGCTGCTGTGCAGGGCCACTGTCAGGAGGGTGTTTGTCCATGGAGACCTCAGGCCAGAGAACTTGCTTTTGGCTGCTGACCTGAACATCAGGGTTGCAGACTTTGGCTTCAGGAAGGAGTTCACCTTTGGCAAACAAGCCGGATACTTTCTGGCGCAGTTCCCCTCATGCTGCCCCAGAACTCAGGGTCAGACCCGTGATGGCCCAGGGGTGGATATGGGGTGCCTGGGAGTCAGTCTATACCATGGTCACCAGCTCCCTGCCTTTCCTTAGAGAGAAATTCTGGAAGCTGTGCTTATAGGTGCTGAACAAAACATACAGTATTCCTTTCTTTATATCCAAAGGGCATGAAAGCCCTATTGATTCATGGTCCTCATTCCCAGTGAGAAAGGGATTTTAGAGGAAGTCCTTGGGTACCCATGGGTAAATGTGAGCCATGTGAGGCCTTACTTCAACCCACTCCCTGATTGTCATGCCTTTCCAGTCTGAGTTGATGCCATGCATGGGCTATGAATGGGGCCACATTCATGACTCATTAGCAGGCAGGAGTAGGAAGAAGCAGTGGCCAGCTCTCTGCTTCTGGGCTGTAAAACACCCCAGCTGGAGGGCCACACCATCACCAAGAAGCCCCTGCCTTCAGCTGACTCCTCCAGCTGCTGCAGTTCTTTCTCATCTGTGAGACAGAGTCTAGAGTTGCTGTCAGCTCAAACCAGCACATCTGCCATTCCCTCCTTACTGGGTTCTCTAACCAGGAACTCAGCATCTTAAGGAGGACCAGGAGTCCCAGGAGAACAGCTGAAGTGCCTGTTCGTTCCTTCCCTGGGCTGGAGATGAAGACCGCCTTTCCCTAGCACAGCCTTCCAGCATAGTACTGTGATCTCCTCTTCTACCCGTAGCACCCGCATCAGCAGTGGAGTCTCAAACAGAACCAGTTGCTCTTATGCATCCTTCAGAAGAAACTCTCTCTATGTCAGGCAGCTATGGTTGAGACCAAAAGAATTTTCTGGAAGGGGTGAGCTAGACTTACCCTCCGGCAGTAGCCAGGACCAATGGGGCCACTGGGAAGTTCTACACCTTCCTCTGTAAGCACCTGAGTTGTCTGGGTTGCCTCCGGCATGTAGCTGCAGCGTGGAGCCATCAAGTGTTTCTTGGTGGGCTGCCAAGGCAGGGGCGAATATGGGGAGGTCAGGCTGGGTTTCCTGCACCTCACAAGGAAAGCTCCTGAGCTCATGCACTCAAAGGACATGATGCAGAAGGTGGCCATGTGCCGACAGCTGTGAGTAGGAGTCCTGCAACAGGTCAGGTCCACGTTGTGTCCCTGTGTGCATGTGTGTGCCATACCCAGCCCGGAGGACTTGGTTCAGGGTTGGACGGCAGCATGCACACCGCCCTGGTTCTCCCCATCGATTCATTTTAACAGGCTGCCTTGCTCCTCCATTGCATTCAAAAGCATCATGGCCAGAACAGCTGGTAGACATCAGTGTAAAGCACTGCCAGGAGCTGCCCGGGACCTAGAAGAGATCTCAGGTCCTTTCCCCAGACAAGTCCCTCCACCCTCTCCTGGGGGAAACTCCAGAGACTGTGCTCCTCTTCCCAGGCTCTTCCTCTTCTGTCTTTGTGGGGGAGAGGAAGTGGTTTTGTAGAAATAAACACAATAAAAACCTTAATTGGTGAACAGTTACAGCTTATTTTCTGAGTTGCTTTTAATGATGACTTGTAGGAAGCAATTACTGACTTAGTGGTTTTGGTTTATGTTTGTGTTAGAGAACATAGGGTTGTTACTTCCTTGACTAGTTTGCTAATAATGACATTAATGCCAGCAAATAACAATAGGATTTACTATTGGCCAAAGACTTTCTATACTAATCCAATTCATCTGAGCCACAAGTCTGCATTTAACAGATTAAGAAACATAGGCAGCAGTAGTTTCTTGAAAATCAGAGAGCTTTGGAGTGGCAGATCTCATGTCATGTGAGCTTGTACTGTCGCCTCAGTAATGTTCAGCCCCCCTCAGCTAAAGCCTGTAGAGCTCCAGTTCTGACATCCTTTTGAGGTCGGTTATACAGCTGGCTACTTTTTATTTGTGGGTTCTGGATCCATGGATTCTGTCAACCTCAGATCAAATATATTTAAAAAACATTGTGTCTACATTGAAGTATAGATTTCCTTTGTCATTGATCCCTAAACAATACAACAATTGACATAACAGTTACAATGTATTAGGTATTATAAGTGATTTGAGGTATGGTCCTGTGTTGCTCAATGACAGGGATGAGTTGTGTGAAATGCTTCCTATGTGATTTGTCACTGTGGAAACAGCATAGAGCACTCTTACACAAACTAAGATAGCTACAATGTCACCACTTGATAAAATCTATGGGACTGCCATCAAATGTTGACCAAAACATTATGCCAGTCATGACTATGTGGGAAGATATGAGTAGGTTGCATGAAAACACTGCATGGTTTTATATAAAGGTCTTGCGAATTTGTGCCTTTTGACATCCTCAGGGCGTCCTGGAACTAATTCCCTGTGAATATCAAGGGCTGACTGTACTGTTTCTTTAGTGGTAACTCAAAATCGTGAGGCATGAGACAACCTACCACTTTCTGTGTCCATTTTCAGTGCTCTGTGTAACTTAATTTTTCCTGTTTCCCTAAGTCCTTTTCTGCTTGAACAGGGTACAGTCCTTGGTTACAGATTCTACCATGGACATGTGAGCAAAACCTGAAGGTGTCTAGGCCTCTGGAAATACTAAGCGTGTGTGGGACCCGATGTTTCCCGGTGCATGGTGCCTTGCAGGTCTTTGGTGCACACCTTGGCCCCTGGTGTTGCACCTGTAGGAGGAGCCCGATCAGATCTGAAGCAGGGTGTTGGCAGGAAGTGGTCTCCATGTCCATCCTGTCCCCAAGTTTTATGAGGTAGATGACAAATGTGGAGTGATGCCTTTAGGAGGAACATCTCTTGTATATTTCAAATCCCTTTATTACACTAGAAGAGTCCAGATGATTTAAGAATGTGAAAATTAATTTATCCAAGTGATTAATATTTTGACATTCAAGAAGGTCTTAGGAACTGGATGTGTCTATAACATGTATAAGAAGTATTCGCCAAAGAAGTGCATTTATTGGGAAGGTACTATATACACTTTCATGGTGCTAGAGCTAGCAAGATTGAGTAAAATATACTACTTGTCCTTAAGGATCAAATATATTTGCAGATTCATTCAGAAGCATTTATTCAGCATCTTTATATGCCCAGCGTCAAACAAATAATAAAGAATTATCTCTCTACTTTGGTTTGTTGAGTGGTGAAGATAAGTATTCAGAGGGGGCACTTAACCCAGCCTGTGGTGTAAAGTGTCTTAGTTCATTGGAGATGCTGTACTAAGACCATAAACTGGGGTTGGCTTGTGAGCTGTAGAAGTTTACTTGTCAGACCCTTAGAGGCTAGGAAGTTTAAGAGCAAGGTGACAGTAGATTAGGTATCTGGTGAAGAACCGTTTCTCATTGATGCCACATTCTAGCTTTGCCTTCACCTGGTATAAAAGGCAAGTTAGAGCTGTGGTTTCTCTTTTATAAGAGCTTTAATCCCCTTCACCTATTTACCTCCCAGAAAACCTAGTTGCTCATGCTAGCACCTTGGGAATATGGATTTCAGCATATGAGTTTTAGAGGACACACACATTCACACCACAACAGGAAGTAGCTAAGTTTTTAAAGCCAAAGCTACATAAGAGTTAATTCTTATTGGGCCACGGTTTTAGCTCAGTGGCACTTCATCTGCCTCATAAGTACAAGGTCCTGAGTTCAATCCCTGGTACCAAAAAGTCAGTTCTTACCTATGTTGGAAACGCAAGGGTTACCACAGACAGCATATGTCTTGGACATCAAAGAAATAAAAAGCAACGGGCTTTTCCTGATTGCACAGAGCTTCTGTTCTTAGGTCTCCTGTACAGATGGTCATTGTTACAATTCCTCCTGTTGTTACTACGTATCTCCCAAATGTTAGGTCCCATAAGCGGATTGATCTGCATTTTTCTTGCTGCTCCTAAGGTTTTAAGATCCTGTATGTAAAAAGATGAGATTACAGCTCATTTCAGATAGTACTTTGGGCTTCAAGTGTTCTTGCACTGTTCGTACACATAGCCATTATGACGTGTGTAGGATGGACAATATGTGGACGAGAGAAGAGGGCGGGAAACAGATGGAGCTGGGGTGTGGGACGTGTTGAGGAGGGGAAGTTCTTGTGTTGTCCTTCCTTACAGTAACTAATTATGGACTCTAGTTCTTTTAGGAGACAAAGTTAAGATTCTGCAAGGGTGAAGAGGGGAGGGCATTCACATAGGGACATACAAAGATTGAGTTCTGTACTGTGCTTTATGGTATCTACTTCATCCCCACTGAATACGGGATTTCTATGTTCAGGAATCATTTTTATATCCATAAAGAAATCTGTTATGTAATTTGCTTAACTTTGAGGAGTTTATCTTGTCTCCAAAATAAAATCTGATTGGACATTTGAACCTCCAGGGACCATGTTCTTGGAAGATGCAGAGTAAGGTTACCAAGTGCAGTTGAGAGAATCAGATGGCTCTTTACTGAGAACAAATCACACATTGCCTTTGTCACCTCCCTGCCTCCCGAGACCGTCACACAGAGGGACTGCCCTGCAGAGACCATCACCCGGGCACACACTACCCTGCTGCAGGAAGGAGTTTGTTCGCAAGCGCTGGCACACAGCTGCTTCCTTGTACTTCCTGCGGCCCTCGCAGTTGGCAGATCTAAGAAATGTGAGCATTTATCAAAAAACACTTTCACTTTGAAATGTTCCTTGTTTCAGTCCAGTCCTTTTGGTAGAAAAGCAGTGTTTAGCCTTGCTGGGCTCCTGTACAGATCCACAGCACGGCAGCCCCCTTTCGGTTCTCACCCCAGTGTAAACGCCAGCCCTGGTGGAAGCTTCTCAAGTCTCTTTCCTCCTCCTCCATCGGGCGGGGAGGGCGTGCTGCACACCGCGGCCCGAGGCCTTGGGGCGGATCTGTTCCCCGCGTGCGGGCGCAGACGAGGAACTGGGGGCGCCGCAGGGTTCATCTTCTCCACGCTGAGCGCACCCAGCACGGTGCCGCCCCGCCCTGTCCCTTCGGGCCGCGGTGCAAAGGGAAGGCCTGGCCTCCGCTACTGAGCCTGCCTGGGCGCCTGGGCGCCCCCGTGCGGGACCCTTCAGCCGCGGGCAGCCTCCGCGCTGCGCGATCCAGTGACCCCTCAGCCCCTGCAGAGCGGGAGCCCAGCGTCTCCGGTGCTTCCTGTGGGCACAGGCTCTTCCTAAGCTCGGCAGCAGGCTCCTCACAGGTATCAGCGAGCACTGTGCGGTGTGCTTACCGAGTTCACCCTGGGAAAACATGGTTCACTTGTTTAGGAAAGGGCCATAATTTATGCTCTTTGATTTAAAATTTCAGTGAATAGTTTTCTTAATTATTGTATACCTAAAGAAGGATGAAACACAAATGATCAGTGTTTGGAATATATGCAGTGCATATGATGGATAAATTAGTAAGCAAATAACACTCTAGAAGTAAAATCTCAGTAGTAAAAAGGAAGTACTGAAGATTAATAAGAATATAAAAAGCATTTAAACATCACTAAGATTACGAATGAATATGAAAGCATATATTTTTAAGCACCAGACTGGCAGAGATGGAAAGACTGGCAGAACCCGTGTGGGAGAGGCTTGGGACCACAGCTTGGGACGCTGCCCACCCGCTGACTCACCCTAACAGCTGGACAAACCCCGTTGGAGAGCGGCCGGGATGTTCTGGGCTCCATAGTTCAGCTCTCCTGGCTGTGCGCGGGGAGCCGCTCCCCACCCCCCAGCTCTACTGTGCAACTCCCTGGAGTCACTGAGGCCTGGCCCCGAAGCAGGCAGGTCCCCAGTGACTGCAAAGATGCTGCTTTAGGACAGAGGACGCGACGCGTCTCATCCTCCTGAAGCGAGTCGTTACCGTCTCGCCACGGCCCCGCGGCCACTCCGGACGCAGCCCCCCAGGGGTGCGCTGTGTGACCCTGGGCGGCCCTCGGGGTGGGCTCTGTCACCCTGCCTGGCACCAGCAGGCACAGGGACCGGGCGGGCCCGGGGCGCCTTCGTTTGCCTCTCACTGCATTCACGGAAGCTTCTGGGTCCCAGGAAGGCCACCCTCGGCCCTCCTTCCCTTTAGAGCTTGGGCCTGCAGCCCGGGGTCCACCTGGTGCTTCGAGTGCCGAGTGAACACCAGGGCTGGTGCTGTCAAACTCGCGGTGTTTCCTCGTGCAAGTGTCGCCAGATGGTCATTTGGGAAGCACAAAGTAATTGTGTTGTGGATTTTATTCCTGGAGGTTACATCTAGAATTAGAAACCTATTTACATAAACTGTACATTAATTTCCATATTATCCTGTGATAACTTCTATGAGAACTTAGAATACTCTTCTATGACTTCAAGCAGTTAGTGCAGCTAGACACTTTTGTAGCCAAACCTGGCATTAAGAGCATTACATACATTAATCATGAAATAGATTTGTAAAAATACCTTGATGATGGTAAATCAGCTTAGGTTGTTCAGAAAATGCAGCTGGCAGTAGCGGCTCCTCAAGTGTAATTCTTTAGGCTGGAGTGGCGTCTCGATTATCAAGCTGCAGGGGAAGAGTACCTTTATAACTTTTAGTGGAATTAACTAAGGAAGGAAGAGCATCTAACAGTAATTATCTTTTATTGTACAGTCACTGTGCTAATGCTGGCAAGGTTCTTTGTAGCCAATCCTGGTCTGAGTCCCTGATCGAATGCCAACTGCAGCCAACTCACCTGGCCAGCCTTCCCTGCTGGCCCAGGTCTCTCCTGTCCCAGTGGCCTCCCTTGGGGAGCCAGCCCACTCTGCTGAGCTTTTTCTAACCAGGCGCCACTTGTGGGGGACCTAGACCTCTTACTTTGTTCTCCCTGAGCCATGGGTGAACGAGGATGAGTCACAGACATGGAGTCAGCTCAGCATGTGGGCAGCCAGGGGTGCTCACCTCTAGCAGGCGGAGAAGCCTGAGGCCCTCCCTCACCTCGCTTTCATTCATCCGCTCAAGTGCGAGCAATCAGAGTAACACAAGAGTCACCTGCTTTCCAGTACCCGCTAGCACATTCTCAGGTAAACAACCTAACCTCAGCTGTCTTAACCTTTCCCTAACGTGCACTATGCGGTCCCCCAAGTGCAGCCTTCCTCCTTTGTGCTCACACAGGAGGCCAGTGAGGCCGCACTTCTCCTCTGGTCTCCCACAGTTGTAGTTCTACATTTATTCTATTATTTAATAAGAAATAGCCATTGTCTGGCAGTTTCATTTATGCAGAGATGAAACACACAGGAAACTTAGCATTGTGGATTTTATAGATGTGAAGATTTCCCTCAGAGTTTGCCATGGACATCACCTATGTAAGTGCGGGCCAGTTCTGGTCTCCTTGCTCACTCCTCTTGAGTGAGTCTGCTAAATAGCCTGCCTCACTTGAAAGCAGAAAGCCAGGGGAATGGTGCCTAAACCCTCACTGTCATTCTCCTTGCATTGATTCCTACTCTGTAGGTTCCAGCGGGCGTTGATGCTGACCTGGGCTTTACTGAAATGATTAGCTTAGAAGAAGATACCAGATTTTTGGTTTTATTTCATGGTCGTGGGATATGTTTTAATTTCACCCAGAGACTACTCAGTCTTGCTCCCCCTCACTTGTGGATCATGTCATTTGAGGATGTTGTTGCAGGTAGTTTGTTAGAGAATGGTCTTTCAGAGCAGTCCTGTTGTCCCGGCAGTTTTGAGTATGAGTGATAGAAGGACAGGAGATACTGTTTTTTATATTTTCTATTTTTTCTCCTAAAAAACATTGTCTTTTCTCGCTGAATTGTCCTCTTCATTCACAGTATTGGGTCAGGGAAGACGAATAGTGTGAGATTCAGGAGACCCAGGTTCTGACTGAGCTCTGTTCTACAGACTTCCCTTCAGACTATGGACAGTCTCTGCCTTCATTCGCTAAGCTGATCTCCATGGTCCATGATGCCTCTGAAGTATATCAAGTCTATCTCTTTTCAGTTATAAAAGGGATACTTCATAATTGGAACCCAAAATGATGTAAGTATATTTATAGAGTCCTGGTGCCTATTTTCTCTTCTGGCTTTCAAGATATGGCACATCAAGTTAGGAATCCATTTCTAATTTGGACACTTTGTGGATCATACTCCTCTTGAATACATGTTCTGTTGTATCCCAAGGGCCTGGAATCTCCAGCTGTGAACCTGACTACCAGTAATAAACTTGTACCTATTGCAGATTTCCCCTAGAGTGTGCTTTCCCCTTTCCTGACCCAAGACATGACCTGTCCACCTTCACCAGCCAACCTTGGCTGTGGCCAGGAGCCATGGTGAAATTCACTACTCTTGGATGTGAACAGAGCGAGTGTTGAGGTTGAGAAGTTTGAGGGAGGTCTCTTGTCTCTGTTCCTTTCCAAAATGAACTTATCCTATGTGGGTTCAACAGTAAGAGTGCTTGTTTTAGGACACTGTGGGGTCTTATCTCCCTTGAAGTATAGTACAATTTATGAGGAGAGTTGTAACACATCTTCATTGAGTTTTGATTTCACTCAAACTTTGGAGTAATTTTTTATATTAAAATGATAAGAATATTATGGAAATTAAATAATTCACAAACAAGTGACATTGACGAAATTTCTTGCTCATACTTTTGGATTATGCCTCCAGGTTTCACCAGGGATATATTCATTCACTTAACTGGTGGGGGGAAGTTAGATTTGAGTACTCAGAATATGTATGTATTTGAGTGTACTTGGTATATTCTAAAGGACCGTCACTGTAGGAGACACTAGGTCAATAATTCTTGATTGATAAAATTCCAGAAATATGTGGAAGATTATTTTTCATGGGCTCTGAAATTTTCAGCTGAGCTTTGGTTAAAAGAGTTTGTATTTTTTTGGGTGGCTCAATCATGGCCTTTCTTATTTTAAGATCACTTCTTTCAAAGTGTTTTTACCCCACCAACGAATGGTAGTTTCAAAGTACAGAATATTTGGGTACTCATACTGAGAGATTAACCAGAGCTGGGGGACACATCTCCAGGAGCATTCGAATGTCCCTGCACGCCCCCATGTCCAGTACCAATTAGGATTCCCTGGCCACAGTGTTCTGTGGGTGACTGGGATTTTCACCGATTTGGCCATGTAAATCATCATACCTGACATCTTCCCCTGCTCATCTTCAGTTCCCTTTGTAATTTTAGGGCCAATAGGAAGTAGGTTGTATACTAGGAAGATCATGGGTGAGGGGGAACTGGGACGAGCTGGCCTAGGACTCACCTCAGCGGGGATTGTGACTGGCTCATTTAGGGTTGAGTCCAAATGGCAGAATGAGATCAACATTGACAGTGTTGGACCAATATCAAGGGGCGAGAAGTATTCCAGTATGGCCAAGGAAAATTCCAGAGCGTCTCCTGTTTCATAGCCTAGGGCCACCCCTCCAGAGTCACTGGTCTCAAACAGGGCACTATTTTAAGCTCATTGCCTGACATCACCCAGGTCATGGATGTTTTCTAAGAGAATCTGAATGAAAATAGGTGCTTGGTTTGGGGAAAATCAGCCACACTTTGCTATCCATTGTAAATATATTATTTCATTTTGTTTTTATAGAAACACTGTGGAGGTTCTTTGTGTTTGTTTGCTTTTTTAAAGACAGGATCTCACTGTGTTGTTCACGGTGGCCTCGGACTCTGAAATTGATATTCCTGATCCCTAATATATCAGAGAAGAAACTACTACAGTCTTGAGAAGTAATGAGATTTGCTCAGCCTTCAAGTTAGACTTCGGAAATATCAAAACTGCAAATTCAATCCCAAGACCATGTGACTTTTTTTTTTTCCCATTAAGTTTATTGGTACATTTTAGGTATAAAATACAGTTACATTCATCATTGGGATCTTGTACCTTTACATGATGTATCTTGGTT